GGATGAAGATATTTTAAAAACATGTGAAGTAGTTGAAGATAATGATATTAATTTTGATGAAGAAATGACAGTCTCGATCGCGATTGAAAATGATAAAAAAGATATAATAGTTCCATCCTTTAAACTTTGGGATGAAGATGTTGGTAGTGGTTTACGCAGTAAAGCACAAGAGGTTGGTAAGAATTCAAAATTTTATTTAATTTAAAACTTAGTAAATAATCAACATGTATATATATATATGTATATATATATATAATATTTTATTTGTTGTTATTTGTTCATTCATTCAGGAAGATACATCTGATGCAACATATGAAAAACGACATCGAAAGCATGAACTTGCAGAAAAAAAGTTAAAGAACAGAGAAAGAGAAAAATTAGAGTATGAAAGATATCAACAACAATTAGCAGTAGAGAAATTACGTAACACAGATTCTAAGAGTTTGATATCAATAGCTGCTTTACGTAGTAATAACTCGACAAGTGATGCAAGTAAATTAGAGACAGTACATAAAAAATTACTTAAGGAAGCAGAGGATCAATTAGCACGATATGATTCTTTAGGATTAGGAGGGAAAAAGAGAAAAGCAGATGCAATAATCAATACTAGTAGTAATATAGTAAGTAATATAGTGGGAGAAAGTAAAATTATCGAAGAACCTGAAAACAAGAAGGCGCGACTTCGTGTACCAAAATGTACCAATAACACAAATCCAACAAATCCAGATGAAGCATTAACATCATGTCCAAAAGATGAGACATCAACACGAATTACTCGAAGTCGTAAAAAGAAAGAAGAAAAACCGACTGATGAAATAATTAGTATTAAATCACCCGAAACAGTAGTCAAGGCAAATTATAAAAAAATAAGTACTAAAGTGAAACCTCAAGTAAAATCTAAAGGAAAAAAAGGATCAAAGACAGTCGCATCATCATCATCAAAAGCAGCGCGTTCATCTACATCTTCGTATATTCAACAACTTGAAACATTTATAAAACCGAATACAGCAATGCCCACGGGATCACGGAAGAGTACGCGTTCAGCACTTGCTTTTGGATACAAGGTTCCGATAAAGCCCTTGGTGAAAAAAGATTTCAGTCTCCCGGTATCTTTATTTGGAGAGATGATAAATGAAAGAGAAAATTTACGATTACAGGAATATCAGCAACAAATCGATTCCGAAGAACTTAAAAAACTCTAAAGATTCAAGTACTAAATTAGTACGATATTACGAATACATATGAGTGTTGTAAAGTGAAAACCTGTAACTGTACTTAAATGTTTTACTATGAATAGTAGTCACAAGTTTTCATTTTGCAACACTTATTTTATTTTTGTAAATATAATAGTGAATATGGTTAGATTCTGTTCATAAATATAATTATGATATATATTATGAATTTTTTTTTCTTATAAATTGAAAAAAAAGGCATCAAAAATGCCGAGCATTTTTGTTGCCGATCGTAGTTTAAAAAAAAAAAAAAAAAAAACATAATTCATGTATATAGATATCATTCAATAACTAACATACATCCTAAGAAATATCAAAAAAAAAAAAAAGTTATTTTATGAACAAAATTACATCACAAGATTACCATAAAGGCATATAAAATAAATGATCAATCATTGAAATCATTGAGGATCTATTATATATAGGAAAAAAAAAAAACGTGGACTTTGCCTGAATGTTGTGGGCTTGTGCGCAAGTTTGTATATAAGATTGTAAAGATTGTATCAATATTCACGCCAAGTTGATCCACAAACAAAAGCCTGGCGTCACATTTGCTGTCAAATGACACTTCGCATATGATAATGTCTGATAATATATTTTGATGTTCGATAATGCATGATGATTTGCTGATCTTTGTACTGTACTATTACTGCATTACGTAGTTATGATAAAAATTTTCGAGTTCCTTAAATTAGAACCACTCTTTGTCTTATTAAAATGGGAAGAGTACGAAGATCAAGAACTCATAAAGGTACGCTTGTTGGTCCGAATGGTCTGAATAGCCTGAATAGCCTGAATAGTCTGAATAGTCTGAATAGTCTGAACTAGCGTTTACTATTCAATGTGAACCTTTTTTTTTATTTCTTTAATCTATTCATGTACAACTTTTAAAGTTTAGAATTCTTTTAATAAAACATTATATTTCTAATAATTGTCGACAGAGACTAAATTTTAAAAAAAGCCACTGGCATATATATAAATTATATTTAAAAACATATATCAAAAATTTTATTAATAGGTATAAGAGATCAATATAGAAAAAAACGAACACGAAATTATACCAAAGACTTGGACCAAATTCACAAAGAATTGAAAGAATTAGATGAACAAATGGAGCCAAACCAAGAATTAGATCCAGATTTACCAGGATTTGGAAAATACCCTTGTGTAGCTTGCGCGTAAATATTGAGTTTCAGAGTGCAATAAAATTATCTAGATTAACGCTAGAAACGTTAGATGATAATGTTAATTATAATCTCTAAATGGTTAGGCGTTATTTCATAAGTCAAAAAGCCCTTGATGAACATAATCGTGGTAAATTACATAAAAAACGGTAATTAAAAATTAATCAATTTCACATGAGTTTTTTTAATATTAATATTATAATTATAATAAAATAATATAATAATAAAATAATAAAAATTAAATATATAGAATCAAATTACTTAAGGAAGTTCCTTATACACAAGCTGAAGCCGAAGCGGCTGTTGGATATTCTACAGAAAATTCAAGAATCAAAATAATGGAGGATGTTAATTATTGATCTCGTAGCGGTAACAATACAGTAAAGTACTATGTAGGTTTGGGGAGATAATTTTAAAAAGCACGATCTTGTGATTGTAATTTGTATTAATATTGTTAATAAGTAAATCCATATTTTTTAAGACTACGTATAAAAATCATGATAACCGAATTAAGGAAGTGAGACCAACTGAGACCAATTGAGACCAGCTTGCATGTGGTAATGTGGGGAAGGAGCAGGATCTGTGTAAAACTTTGTTGGCGTTTTTTCCCAAGCCCTTATTACACCATGCATCGAGAATTTGAATTTTTTTTTCAATCAGGTTTATTGAAAAAAAAATTACTAATATGATTGCTTTTCATCATTTTCACTTTCGTCGGTCTCTAAACTTTTTTCTTCCCTTTTTGAATTATGAAGAATTTCATTGGCTAAGCTTACTATAATCGGCACTTAACGATTACTCCTGCTTAGTGATGCCTAACGTCAAGCATTGCATTCACTAAACATTTCTGGAATTGGATAAATTTGTGTAGCTCAAAAAAAATTTTTGATCAAAACTTGTGTACATAGTCTGATTAATAAACCTCTTTTTAGATAAATCTCAAGGTATATACTGTATTTAAATAATAATATTTCATTCTACTTGCTATTTTTTTATGATTATATGAATCAAAAAAGCTTGAAGTTTTACTTGTATTCTGTATATGGTATATTTTATTTTTATTTTATTTTATTAAGTAACCTATTCTAAGGTTTAATATTATTAATATTCTTTTTATTATTAGAAATGTGTAACCTAAACCTCAAAAATTAAAAATCCAAAAATCAGGACCCTATATAAAAAAAATGTCTAGTTAAAGTGAGAACCCCATGACTGAACGTAAATGATCGAGAATACTGTCTTACTGTCTTAACTGTTTAGTAATAGTGCAGAAAATGAGATTGCTTATTATTGACGTGTTACAATCTGTACAATATCAATATCTATATACAATATATAAATAATGAAATCGATCTGTTCGACGATCGTCTGACGATCAAATCCGTGAAAATGGTAAAAATGGGTACGTATAACCGTATAGTAACCGTAGTTGATGAATCGGACCGTTTTTCTTAAAAAGATAGTTACGTAAGACATATTCTTTCCAATTACTTCCATTTTTTTCTCCACTTTTTTTTTTTTCTTCAAAACTCGGATTGGGTAATCTTGCATGGGATCACAAACATCATCAGACAGAATGACAGAAATGATGCGTGAAAGTCAATAGGGTCCTTTATTATTATTATAAGAATATCCTGTCCCTTAAAATATTATTGTTTCATATATCGATATATTTTTTGCCGTTCTTTTGCATCCGTTCGGTTTTAATTTCGCGCTTAGCGCTCAATTTTTACGCAATGCCTAAGTACGTACGTACGCACTTACACTACTAACTAATTCACAACAGCGGAATTTTAATCTATTAAATACTGTACTTTTTTAATATGATTTACCGTACATCCCAATCCTATTGTGTATTTATTTATGTGCATGGTAAATGCAAATACTGTACTGTATTAAACTACCTGTCAATATCCTGTAATTTAAATAATTTTTATTCCCTTTTTTTTCATCCCCCATTTTTTCCGCAACGAACATTTTCGTATATAAGTCACTTAAAATTCGTATATTGAATCGAGAACCTCTATTTTTTTTCCTTAAAAAAATAAATCATTTCAAAAATAAAAAAAAAATTTTTTTTTAAAAAAAAACCGGATTTTTTAAAAAAAAAAATCGTATTTTTTCCTCCGTTATAGATATTCATATATAAAAAAAAAATGTCAATTTTTGGACAACAAATAAATCTTTTTGTATTCTTTGGTTTGAACAGTTCACAAAGAATTGAACTTTTTCAATGGTTATTAGTAACCATGGCAATCCTTTTGACAGCCGTATGTTTCCTTTATTATTTCATATTCTTTTTATATTCTTTTATTATATTCTTTTATATTCTTATATTCTTTTCCATTTATCGTTATTTATTTAAAATTCATTCGACTTTATATCCAATTAGATTCCCACAAGTATTTTATCTCTAGCGCAAAATCGTAATCGATCCTTAACTTTTACCGCAGTAATATCACCGGAAGACAGTCAAGTTTTACCAGGAATTGTTTTAACTCCTCACCTTACATTTAATGGTGACTTTGTATGCGTTATGTGCGCATGGATAATTACTTTGTTTGGTGTATTTAATTTTATGCGAAAAAATAACGTTGTTGGTCAATTTGTATCCTTTTTTTATAACCTTAATATTTCGTTACTTTTGATTTGTTTCTATTTAATATAGCATACATTTGATCTACTGCACTTATTGATTATTGCATAAACCCTTAACCTCTCTACACCTTTTCTTTATAGATTTCCATGTTCCTTATTGCATTCACTGTGATCCAAACTGTTACAGCTGCATATAACGTGTTGTTTAGTAACAGTTGGATTTTAAAAATTCTAAATGGTTCATTACAAAAAGCTTATAATTTGGATCCTGATCTGATAAAAGAATTCGAATATGAGGTAACACCGTAATTTATTTGTTTTATTTGTTTAGTTTCAATTAACTTATATTGGTTTTTTTTTTTAATTAGCTTTCATGCAATGAATATTCAATAATTGATCGATCCAGTGAATTTGTTGATAATTGTTATAATATCATTTTAATGAATCGATTTGGCCCCCAATTAATTTATGTGGCCAAAATCGTACTTTTTTCAAGATTCGTTCAGGTAATTTGATTATTTCATTTAATTTACCCTTTATAACCCGATTGTGTTATTTTTTTTCACATTTTATATACATTTCTATCAGTTGATAGGTGTTCTTATGCATACCTTCATATTCGATTGTATCACAATGCACGATATACGACAGTATATTCTCGGGGATGATAGCGAAGAATGCTTGTATGGTAAAGATAAAGGCCTTATAACTAATTCCAATGTTGATGAATCGGAAGAGCGAATTATTTCAAATTCATCCTCAGCAAGATATTAACAAACAAATTAAATTGACTTTTAAATTCTGCTGAATTAACTGAATTATTTTACATTTAGCATTACATGGTTAACCCGATGATATATATGCATTTTCATTCAGGTTACTTTTTAAAAAAATTCATACACATTACACTTGATTTTTGTCGCGATTGTTTATTGCTCATTTTGTACAATTTTAATTACCTTTTTTTTTTCGTTTACATCCTATTTTGTAAATATTAATTTGTACAAAGGGATTTTTCTTTTTTTTAAACCAAATTGTACTTAAATTGTAAATGATTTTATACATAAAAAAAAACCTGTATCATATTTGTATCCATAGGCAGAATTATATGTACATTTAAATATGTAATTATATATATATAGTTAATTACAATTTTTTAATATAATACTAACTATAGATGCAAAAAAAAACATCAAATTGTGTAATTTTTTTTCATGCTATATAAAATTTTAATATAGCAAATATTTACGTGTGTAGCAATTGTGGATCCGAATTCCAGTTCGAATTCAGATCAGCTGTTCTATTCATATGGTTTGCAAACAAAAAATATGTTTTGTAACTCAAAATATCATTCCAAGGACAATACTTTATTTTTCATTAGAAACTTGTTTCTAATGATTTCAAATTTCAGATGCAACGAATTTGAGGCCTAAACACCGAATATAAATCGGCTTTATATAAATAGTTTTTAATACAACCGGTTATAAATCGAGTTTATCATATTTTTTATGGTTTTCAATAACTACAGAACTAGGGTTGTTAATGGTTAGCGCAAGCCTTTACTCCAACCCAATCCGGGTTATGCTTTAAATTAATAATACTCCAGGTTATACTCTGGATTATACTCCGGGTTGTACTTCAGGTTAATGCTCTGGATTATATTCCAGGTTAATACTCTGGATTATGCTCCGGTTATGTTCTGGTGTTACTATCGTAACTTTCTGTGCCCTGATATTTCCATTTTTTTTTTTTTTTTTAATCTTCAAGGTGAATATTTACATATTTTTAATTCTTCATCTCTTATTTGTATTATAGATTTCTTATTTTAAGTACCCTAGCCATGACAATGATAAGCTGTCACGTGACACTTGAAAAATTCTTTATAATCGGAATGTGGGTATTATCTTCATTGTAAGATATTCATATAATCGGCCAATTTGGATAGATTCTTGCATGATCATTGACTAATAAAATCGCTGATTTTAATTATTATTATTTTTTGGCATCAAGGTGAGGCCTTACTTGTATCTTTATTAATTTTTTAAAATAATAACTGCAGCGAGTTACAAATCTTTATATAAAAGTAAAAAATTAAAGCAAAAATAAAAGCTCGGATTAGTTTATTTGTAATTTAAATTTATTAAAGCAGTTAAAAGTTTATATATATAATTTAAACTAATATACTAGAAAGTAGATCAAATATTAATTTTTTTAATAGCCTATTAAAAACAAATATTATTTATATATAATTAATCTAATACTGTATATTATATTGATATGATGCAAAGACATCTAGTTGCATTATAATGCTGAATTCAAAATCTATATATTGTAATATAGATAAATTTTTATTAATATTGTTATAGAACAGTTTTATTTTATTAGTTATTATTTTATCTTAGTATTATTTTATTATTTTGATATTTGTATT